AATGCATAATGATTTATTCGCAAATTTAGTGATGTCCAAATAATTCTGTTGAACTGACTTTCATAAAAAGATTTCCATGGGAGTGAAAATACAAGTTATAGGTTATTTAAGTATTGTGAAATAAAAGATTAGAGAAACCAAAAACAGAGGCCAGTTATAGGTTCCTCTCAGGCTAAAAACAATCATGGGATGACGTTTCAAACTTATAACTTTTTCCCTTTTCTGTTACATCACAAGGGTATCAAGCTAAGAAAGCAATTATGCAATTTAAACTTATTCAACAGAAATCTAGCCTGTAGTCTCCTTGTCCCACCCCCAACCTACAAAAACAGGAAATGGCAACTTGAACATAATTTCCAGGCATCAAAGACCTATGACAAGGCAGGTATAAAGGCTCCCCGTGTAGTTAAATTACCCTATATTTTGTGAAATGACCAAAAATTATTTTAAATTGAGATGAATTCATTAATTTACTTGATTTCCAATGAATTTGCTTTAGAACAAAAGTTTTAAAGTCATGGAATTTATTTGGTAAACAATCCATTAGCCATCCCCCAATTAGACACCCAAATGAATTCCACAAAACTTAAACTACAAACTTTTTGTGAGGATTTCCAAATGAAATGAACTGAATTCAACAGTTACTGCCCTGTTCCAACTCAAATGAACTGAATTTAGACTTTAAAGTGTTCAAAAACACACTATCACAGTTTGAAATCCTAGACTGATAGTGATGATAGGTGGATATGCAACCTTAACAACATAGGAGAACAAGTTAAAGTACAGAGATAAAAGAGATGCTTTATTTCTCTCTGTCTCATCCTGTTCAAATTGTTTTGCTAATGAAACCAAAACTACTAAGTTCTTCAAAAAGAACAAAGGAAAATCAATTCCTAGTCAAAAGGTGGAAAATCTGAAGCAAGGAGATAATATCGAAAGCAGGTGTGATAAGTTGTTACCAAATTTAAAACTAAAACAGATTTTGTGGATAAAGTACCTGATCATCAAAAGAAGGTACCGTTCCAGCCATTTGAGGCCAGCAATTACCATCAGGACCTAGCTTGCGGAATTCTCCTCTACGAATAACTGCCTAGACAAATTTTAAAAAAAATATATAAAAAATGAGTCCCCGCACATTAAATTTAAAACAAAAAACAAGTCATTAAAACCCATGCATGCATTATACGACTCATCTATAGAAGCAATCAACGTTCTTATTTTATGATGCGGAGAAGAAACCGCACAACTCCTATGAAACAACAGATAAAAGATGCCTTGCCGTTCATTGAGGTCAATAACCTTTGCATAAGGATCCAATACAATTCTAGAAGAGTCATAGTAGTGTCCCTCTTCAGGCGAAAACTTCCCATCAAATTTGTATCCGTAAAGGATATCTTTGAAATCTCCCTTGAGAAGTACATGCCACACATTTCCGGTCTTGTTGGTCAAAGGATCAAGAGGGATCAGCTCAGTAACTTTATCCTACATCAAATGCATATCAACGATTAATTAATCAATTATTTACATAGAACTCAAGTTAAGAAACTCCACAAGTTTCAATTTTTTTTTATACAATCAATATTGGGGAGGGATGATTCAAACTTGGGACCTTGAATGCAAGGGAGAATGCTCTTAACCAACCTAGTATCAATTTAAGTTCAGTTAAGTAGAACTCAAACCACAAATGCACTGTCACTAAAAGAAGCAATCTTTCGGGCTTTTGGCCCGACAAAAAAAAATATATTAACAGCAGCACGAGAAATTGGCAACAAAATGTTCAATTCATGACTTACCCCCTCTAAATCGGAGAGAGTGATCAAACAGAGAGTGACGGAAACCGCATTGCCGGAATAGACGGCGAAGTTAACCCCGCCATCACGCGCCGTGGCACCGAGCGCACTCGGATGACCCTGAGACACCTGAAAGGGCTGCAGTTTCGGCCTGTCGACCACCGTATTCTCCGCCACCTCGGTCCCTGCCCCGCCATTACTCGCCTTCGCCACCAACGCCCTCGCATGATTCCCAAACCCTCGCATCCACCAATTCAGACTCTTGGTCTTCTGATTTGGGTTTTGGCGCCTGGCATTGGGAAAGGCGAAACGCTGGGTGTTCTGGCGGGGAAGATTGAGGTTGGGAGCGGTGGACCAGGCGCTGCACTTGGTTAGCTGCTGCTGCTGGGCCATTGGTTCATCAGTGAGAGAGAGAGATTCTTGGCCTCCTGTTTGTTTGGTTTGGAGTGGGATGGATTTTTTGTGAGGAGATATTATCTGTGTCACTTTCATTTCTCAAAGGCTGGAATTTGTTTTTATTTTTAGGAGGCACGTTTGATGTGTTTTCACCATATTCTATCCAAGATTTTAAAAAACGCTAGGCACTAATCGAACATCATACTAGCGCCTAGCATTTAGGCAGGAATTAAGCGGAGTCTAAGCGGTCTAGACTGATTTAAGTAATTTGAATAAATGAATTCAATTTTACTACAAAAAATATAATAACATCGAATAATGTATATATAAATATAGTAATTTAAGATAGTTTGACAGAAAAGAATAAAAAAATATAGTTTTTATTTTCATTTTAGAAAGAAAAACCTACATAGTTACAACTTCACACCACCCTTCGGGATCAGAATCCTCTCTTAAGCTAAGGGTGAGGATCCTCTTGAGCAAGGTCATCGGGCCGTTGAAATTTTATCCAATAGTTACAATTATTATAACTTTTAGTGGGCTCCCTGTTTTTAGCCGTTGGATAAAATTTCAACGGTTTGATGGACTTGCTCAGGTGGATCCTCACCTTTCCCACACCAATCCCATCGGTGGAGCCCATTCACTTACCTCTCTCACATTACCCAGAGTTTCAATTGCAATATCTAAGATCAAATAGTGTAAAAAATATTAAAGAAATCAATTCTTGCTTTTGATGATAAGGCCTAGTGGTAGATATGACTGTAAGGAGTGTGATGGGTACACGCAAAACCTTTTGACGTCTTGAAAATCGGAAAGCCCTTATTTTGTATTATTTTTCCATTTCCTCTTCCATTTCCCTCTCACATCGTCTTCTTCAATTTACCTCTCACATCGTCTTTTTCAGTTTTCTTTGTAACCTCTCTTGTTCTTCGAGTTCGGCGTCGCGAGATTTGTAGACGAGATGTCATAATTTAGAGCAGAGCAGAATACGATGAAGTGAGAATTATGCACGGAGTAGAAGATGGGAGTTCAAGACGGTGAGAGTTGTATAGCCAATGATGGAAATCGACCAAATTCAGTCCACCTAGACATGTTGCCAAGCGCCACCTTGATCGCCTAGAGCACCTAGCGAGCGCCTAGGAGGCCGTATTGCTCCTCACCGATTTTGTAATGGATTTGCCCCAAATCGCCTCGGACAGCCATCGCCTAGCGCCTAGAGCGATTTTAATAACACTGATCCTATCCATCGGTTTCGTGAGATTATTTAACATTTTAATGTGGATTCTTTTGGTAATTTTAGTGGATATACCTTCAAGATTGTCACATGTCGACCTTCGTAATATCACAATTCTCACATTATTTTTTTGAGTTCAAAGTACGGTATTCACTAATTGTACAAACTATGGAGCATAAAGTGTCACGCCTTGATCCAAGAATAAAGACTATTCATGAGTCAGGTGTGAGCCATATTTTAGCCATAGAAATATATCCTATAACCAAGATGTTAGGTTGATATAATAGGTATATTTTGTATCTCTTTTACCTATTAATTTAGTCATGGTTTGATATAAAACAGTTGGATTTGATGTATTTTGTGTGAATTTTATAGAAGTTATTTTTTCGGAGAAAACTGGATTTTTTAGAAGAATTACAAGGAAAGCACGAAAGAATAACGAAGTGGACTGATGCTATGTGAGAGTGGTGCTGGAATTTGGGCTTTATCAAATTAAGTCCAATTTGGGGCTTCATATGGATTAGAGAACAAAAAGCAAAGGGGGAGAAGACCAAAAAAAAAAAAAAAAAAAAAAAAAAAAGTCCAACTGGGGGGTGTACGGAACCGACCTCTCTAATTGCTGGGGAGTAGATGAGAAGCAGCCGCAAAGGGGGGAAAGAAGGGGATTCCAGCCTTCCAGTGGAAAAACGCTGGAGAGAAGGTGGCAGTTTTTGGGGTTGATCACATACGATTCCAGAATTGGAGTTTTGGGGTTTCTTTATATGTTATCGAATTCATCCATGTTTGTGATTAGTTTAATCATGAACTAAGTCCTTTTGCTAGGATTAGGGTGTACTCTTATCATGAACATCTAATTCTTATTATTTCATATTGATCTCTGTTTGTTTTCCATGTTGAGTAATTGTTATTGTGCTTTATCGTTATCAAAATAACTGGCCATTATTTGTGTGAAGAACTAAATTGGGACTGACAGGTTGAGTTTAGTAGATTGCTTCTCATAACGATTACCATGAATTACATAATTGAGTAGACATACTGGTTATGATTTGTGTAGTATTGTGAAATTATCCATTTAGCGTAAAGGGATTCAATTATCTACTTCTGTGGCTAGACATAGCATGGGTAGATAGTTAGAAACACAGTTAGTATATTCTGAAAGGAAATATTGACGAATCAAGGGATAATTGCTAGCAACATGGGAATAAATTGAGTTTAATATGAATAACGGGATTAGATGGGATTGAGAATGAGGAACCTGATGTCCTAGTGCTTCAATATATTAATTTTTCATAATTCATTCACTTTTACTTCGTGTTTGTTCAATTGATATTTTCAATTTCGTTTGGGTCTTTGCATATTTGAATTTGTCATCGTAATCCATCTTTTATTTAAGTTTAGTTTGAAGTCAATCTCAATAGTAAATTTAGGTTAATCCGATCCTTGTTTGAACGACACTCTACTTATCACTATATTACTTGGACGATATTGTACACTTGCAATTATCAACAACACAAGACATGGTGCAAAAAAGTAAAATAATATTTGTTTGTAATTGAATCACAAGACATTGTATAATAAAATTGTACATGATAAAACGCTCGAATTTACTACATAAAGTTTATTGAATACGTTGCGGAATAAAATTAGTGCACAAATTTACAATTGAAAGTACCAACAAAATAACTGAAATGAATAAACCTTGCAAATACATAAATATATGCAAATGAGATGCATGAATGTACTCGCTCCCTTCTAATCCTGCTAACGCGTACCTAAGGCATCCAAGCCTGCACATCTCATACCATGCTTACACCACTTGACTCTGAATACCTTAGAATATGAGTTAACTCCCGCTCATCCCTTAAGCTCAATTTTTACAATTAAATTCTCAATTTTCACTTTATCATATGGGCATTTCTCCCAACGCCCAATTGTATACTCAAGTTATTCCCCTGAAGCCTGACATATATTAAAGGCATTCTCGAATATCCTCACAACTCAAACACTTTACACAGCTTTACACAACTCAATACAACTTAACACAACTCAACTTTTTATCTTGATTTGCAATGCATATGCGTATGTAGGCAACATTGATGTCAATAATCTCATGATCTATAATAACCATACAATTTGCAACATAAATTGAAATAGTTAGTAATCAAAATACTATTAGACTATCAATAATAAAGTATTTTTAGAACTTTGCTCTACATCTTTAATGGTTGCACAAGGAGATGAAATAACCAATTACCAAATATCAATTCTTTAACTGTTTTCTTCTCTTACAAGCTACTATATGTAGTAATTTTCAATACTAACAATCCAACAACTAACTAACAACCTATTTGAACAGGTGTTACCTATAGGATAATGTCATCTGTCATAGCATCTTAACAATACCCCCTTAAAACCGAACTTTAGTAAACATTGAAACAATACAATAGATTTATAGAAAACAATACACAAAACCACTAAATAGATTGACAACTCAAAGGTTAACAACTTCTAGAAACTTCAGTTTCAATTCAACTTATCAAGTAGCATCTTCCACAGAGTGATTTTACCAATGGACCATTCTGTAAAATACCAGTGTTAGTGATAATTGGCAAAGGAACTGTGGTTTGTACATGAGCCTCCAAATGTTTCTTCAAGCATGAGATATGAAACATAGGATGTAGTTTGGATTGCTCTGGTAACTTGATCTTGTATGCTACATTTCCAACCTTAGCTACAACCTGAAAGGGACCATAAAATCGAAGTTGAAGTTTGTGAAATGGATGTGCTACCAAGGATTTGTGTTGGTAAGGAACCAATCTTAAATAAACCCCATCTCCAACTTTAAACACCATTTCTATCATCTTTTTATCAGCTTGAACTTTCATTTTACATTGAGCAGCCTCCAAGTTATTTTTTAGCAAAGACAAAATTTTGTTTCTCTCTTGCAAGCATTGTTCAACAGACTCCACTTTGGTTGTACCATTTTCATATGCAAGAAGGAGAGGAGGAGCTTAACCATAAACTGCTTCAAATTGTGTCATTTTAATAGCATATTGAAAACTAGTGTTATAGCTTCATTCTGCCCAAGAAAGCCATAAAACCCACTTCTTTGATTGTAAACTACAAAAACATCTTAAATAGGTCTCCAAACACCTATTAAGAACCTTAGCTTATCCATCTGTCTGTGGATGGTATCCAAAGCTAAAGCAAAGTTCAAATCCTTGCAAAATGAAGAGTTCTTTCTAGAATTTGTTCATGAAAACTGGATCTCTGTCGCTGATTATCAATTTTGGCATGCCATGTACTTTGAAGATGTTGTCAACAGAGAGTTGAGCAACTACTCAAGCTAAATATGGATGTGTAAGTTTTGTAAAATGGGCATACTTAGACAAACGATCAACTACTACCCAAATTATAGTTTTCCCTTTGCAAGGTGGAAGACCAACTATGAAATCCATTGAAATTTCATACCATACCTTAACAAGAATTGGCTAAGGTTGCAAAAGTCTAGGTGGAGATAAAGTCTTATATTTGTTTTGCTGACAAGTGGCACAACTAGCAACTCTCTCTTTGATATCCTTCTGCATACCTTTCTAATAGAATGATCTGAATATTCTTTTGTAGGTTTTAAGAAATCCCTTATGTCCAGCAGTAGGGCTTGAGTAATGTTCAGTAAAAACCTTATCTCTCCAAGAACTAGCACAATAGAATTTCTCCAAAATGAATCGTTACTCTTTAAATTTAGAGAGCAAATATTCATTTGCTAAATATTAAAAAAAATTAAAAAAGAAAAAGAGAAAGAAAAAAAACTCAAAAGTAGACCCT